TAATAATTTACCTCTAATTTTAAGTGCTTTTATCCATTCAATTGCTTTGGTATTTTAGACATTTTGCTTTTAGCTATTATCTTATTTTAACTTTTATCTTTGATTGCTTATTTTTAATCAGTATTTTGACTTTTAGATTATTACTTTTCAGTATTGACTTTTAAACTACTTTATTTTTAAGCTTCTTAATTACTATTTCTACGTTTTTAACTTTTTAATTAATGTCACCTTTTGCTGGCTCAATTTTGTTTATCACCATTAGGGTTTAATTGTTTTACTATTTTAGTAATTTAGCTTTTATTCCATTTTTTTGCATTAATTTTAATTATTTATTGATACCGAGTGCCAACCCCATTTATCTTGGTGATGTCTTCGACATCACTACCTATTTTAACATCCGAGGGGATAACGGGACAAATGACGAAGACGGTGATCCCGTTGGGGACGAATCGGTCACCACACACTTCATGATTGTCGGCTCTATAATCCAGTCCAGAGTTAATACCATCTCGTATAAGAGCACATGTAAAATCGCCATTGCTGACAGAACGGAGATTCTTAAGGCCATTAGTGAGCTCCTGATACTTATCAGCAAACAAGACTCAAACCTGGCTGTTATGAAGTATCAACTCGAAAGAGCATCTGCGCATTTGGACAGAACTGAGAACGCAATTGAAGACGCAGCTGCAGATGCAAGTCGTACTTATGCTGACGTCTTAAAATATAACAGAGGGAACGGCCATCTGATAAATAATCACACAAGAGCAAAAGACCACATAGCCCACATAAACCAATTTCCAAGACCACCCAATCTGAACAAACTAAATCAGGCGTCATTGACACTTCTGACCCCAATAAATTAAAAATAAGGGTCAAAAGAATTTCGAAAATCAGAGATGGTGGCATCCTAATTCAAACTAATTGTGAAAAAGATTTGGAAATACTGGAGCATGAATTTGGCAGAAAGATATAACATTTCCAGGTCGAAGTTAATTAACCCTTCCATAATTATTTTCGGTATCGACGGAGACCTTGATTGGCGATCGCAACACTCGAATACGCCATCTGGGGAGAAACCGGTTTCATGTCTTTAGCACTTCTCCTTTCCCTCTCCTCCTCTTTTCAGTTGCATAGGAATGTACTACGATATTTTTCCTTTTTATTAAATAAAATTTTTTTTTTAAATTTTCGTGATACTTTTCTTTAGAGCTATGTTTAATGTGGTTTTCAGTTCCATATAGTTTTCCAACTTAAAAGATTTTAATCTACATTAAAATCAAGAGAGAAACTAATGTAGTTCCTTCCTCTATGACTTTCCATACGCTAATAGGGAAAGCATGTGAAGTGTTGCCATAGGTAGAGAGTTCTGCTCTACGCCACCTGCAGCCCATTTCGATCGCCAATAAAGAACTTTTAACTGAAGCTATTGTCAATCAGAATGATTATATAGATAGAGATGAAATTACTGTAAAATTCCCATTGAGAGCTGGAAGAAACAGAAATAACTGGGTGGTGGAGATCCTCCCTGACTCCTTCAACAAGATTATGAGCCTAGACAAAATCAACATTAAGTGTAGAAGATACAATTTCCAAAAGCACCTAAGAGTTAAACAATGCTTTAAATGCGTTGAATTAGGACATCTTGCTAGACAGCTTGTACAGCTGAAATAATATGCAGGAATTGTTTGAAACCTGGACATCAGGATAAAGATTGTACTAACAATGAGTGCTGTTAAACTCGCGATGCTGCTGACAAACGATTTAAAACAACACGCAATATCAACCATGGCCCTTTAACAAACACTGTAGACAGTTAGAGAGAGAGAGCAAGGGAACAACAAGTCAGAAGAACAAATTATGGATACACAAAGCAAGGATGTTATCGAATTCGGACATCTTAATGTTCATCACTCCAGGGCTGTTAATATCCTACTCAACTACGATATCGAACAACAACATCTTAACATTATCAGCATTAACGAGCCTTATTTTAACCAATCTAAATTCATAACTGATTTTTCGGGTCATATAAAAATCTGCGCTGCGAATCAGAAACCTAAAGCTGCGATTCTGATCAATTATGACAGCTTGGAAGATTTCAGTATTCTGAATGAAGAATGTTTACAGGCAATTTGCTACACCTATAAATCTACTTGCACTTCCTTGTCTCAGTCTACATCCCCCCGAGTGAGGCGCTTGAGCCTTACCTACAGAAACTCGAGTCGATGGCTGCCAGGTATGCAGACAGCAAACTTCTCATTTGAGGGCATTTTAATGCCAAGTCATGCCTTATGGGGAGGTTCAGTTAAGCATCGATTAACTTTTGTGAATCCCAACTTATGTCATATTATTGCAATCGGCTTTATGTAACATTATATTGTCTTTTTATATTGTTTTATATGTTCTTTGCTAAATTGTTTCCTTATAGTAGACTGGGCATGTGAAACTCGGTGTAGACTCTGCTACAGTACATACAAATGTAAGTAATGTTTCGAACAAATTTGTAGCAAAGAAATTGCCTTACTAGCTATAAGGGAAGCCCCATCGGCAAACGTACTATAAGATAGGCTTCCCGGAGCAATTTCATCAATTCTTTGTTAAAACCTTGTAATTTGCCCCAGTTGCCATCAACTGTAAATTAAATATTTGCATGGTTTTAAATAAATGCCACGGATGTGGCCTAGCCCGTATGCCTATTATGAAGGTGGGAAAGAAAAAAAGTTTACTTAGGCCTCGTGTAAGAAGGAGAAATGCCTACCAGCACGTGTCTGAGTTTGGTCGAGGTCGAATTGTGACCTACCAGGATTGTGGTTTATCACACCGAAGTATTGCTGCTCGCGTTGGTCGATATCTCATGACTGTTAGCAGAATATGGAATCGATGGGTTCATGACGGTCATATGGAACGCCGTTCAGTATCTCAGCGGCCACCCGCATCACTAACAGCCGAGAAGACAGACATGTTATCCACATAGTCTTAAGGGATCGTACAGCTACGTCACGAACCCTGAGTCAACAAATGGGGTCATTTGCGAGACAGCAAGTGCCTGCACGAACAGTTCGACGACGTTTGCAGCAGCATGCACTATCAGCACGGCTACCATGGCTTCGGCTACCCTTGACACTGCATCACAGGCTGGAGCGCCTCCAAAGGTGTGATCAACGATGAATCTGGAAGCAGGAATGGCATGACGTCGTCCTTTCAGACGAATCCAGGTTCTGTATACAACATCATGATGGCCGCATCCGTGTTTGACATTGTGGAGAACGCCCATTGGCAGCTTGCATTCGACATTGTCATACTGGCCCATCACCTTGAGTAATGGTATGGGATGCTATTGGATACGGTCTCGATCACCTCTTGTTCGCAGCCGTTACATTTCTATTGTGTTAGGGCTAGTCGCTCTGCCAAATCTTCGAGGCCTCCATAACGCTATCTTTCAGCAGAACAATGCACAACCGCTTGTTGCCTGCACTGTCCTGACCTTCCTTGACACAGAGCATGTTCATCCGTAGCCCTGGCCAGCGGGTTCTCCTGATCTCTCACCAATTGAAAACGGTTGCCGAACTCGTCAGTCACAACGGCCGATGAATTGCGGCATAATGTTGAAGCTGCATGGAATGCTGTACCCGTCGATGGGATCTTATCTTTGCTCAACTCGATGCCCAGAAGAATAACTGCTGTTATTGCTGCCAGGGGAGGCTGCTCTGAGTACTGATTCCTCACGATCTGATATCCTGAAAATTTAAACACTTGTTCTTCCAACTATAATGTATGTGCCCAATAAATATCATTCTGTTATTGGCACGCTTCTTTCAGTTTATTAGTGAAATATTTGTAAATTAAGTCTCGATTTTAATTGAATTATTAAATAAATGAATTGATAGTCTCTAACACTTACAACTTTATTTGCATTCGTGTTCTTACCAACTCTGATATTCTCTTCTGAATATTTAATGTGATATTGAAGTGCGCTTTTTCAATGGAACCATATTGGGTCACGCCCCCTAATCTTTAACTGCCTCAATTGGGCCGAATAATTTGTCTATAATAATTCCCCTTTTTTAAGGAAATATATTATTTCATAATCTAATACCTAACTGAGCTTGAAAATTATAGGTTAACATTAAGGAGATATTTTTACATACAGTAAAGATAGAAATGTTTTCAGACTTTTAACACTTTAAAACGGTCTTAGAATTATATACATATATACTCACATATCATGTCACATTATGGGGCCAATAATTTTACTATAATTATTTTTTTAGGTATGGTAGTATAGTATATTATAATGAAATAGCTGACTGAGTTTGAATATTATGTTGGGTCACGCCCCCTAATATAATATTCAAACTCGGGACAGGGGTCCGGTTTTTTCTCCAGATGACGTATTCAAGGGTTGCGAACAGCTGCAGTGTTCCATCTATATGAATCTTTATTCCTTTTTTTTTCAAATTTTGAAATAACCAATATATTATCCCTGGAGCCTTAATTATTTTAATTAAAAAAATGCTTTTTAAAAATTATCAATCTAATTAATAATCCTTTCCGAAAATTCACACCGATAATTTATAGATTAAATAGTTATAATTTGACAGTATTAACCAAATTATTTCACTGTAGAGCAAAAAAAAAAAAAAACAATTAATGAAATATGAACTAAAAACAATTAATAAATCCTAATTTAAATTTTAGGAGCTTAAATAAAAATAGAAAACAGATCTTAATAACTTATTTTTAAAATTATTCTACTTTGATTAATTTCTTAGAATAAAACTAGGCTCTTTGCAACCTCCTGTTGTCATTTGTTAGGCTTGTTGCAGTGAGCCTTGTAGGGACATTGCAAAGTAGGGTCAGCAATTTGCAAAGAGCCAGATCTTGCAGTAAGCCTACAGCTTACATATATTACATGTCATTACATATTAACCCTCCAAAAGTTAAGGTACATCTTGTTTTCTGTGTCTAGTTGGAAAATGAATGAACAAATCAATAAAATATATTTGGTGGAAATGTGCACGAAACGGTTTTTTATTGAATGTAACAGAAATTTACATGAATCCAAACACTATCAATATTCATAAAAAAACATGATTTACATTTGGCGGAAAAGTTTCTTATAACAAGTATCACACAGAATATCATAGTTTTATGAAAACAAAATCATAGTCTTATGAAAACAGAATATCATAGTTTTATGTGGAAAATTGATGAAGAAATATAACAAAAATATAAATACAACCACGTCTAACTACATTGTAACTGAATATGGGAGCAATTTCAGCTAATTAGTAATGGCTAGGAAAGTAGATTATACATCAGTCTCAGGCTCCTTTACACCATGATGAAGCTTTGAATTGCAGTTTTCTTTTAATAAAAATATGAAAGTTAAACTTCTAAAAAATACCCATATAAGTGCAGGATATTTAGTACCACATAAATCTAAAAACATAGAATAGCCACCATATATAAAAGTAAATAACACAAGAAGCATCCATCTGTATGGGTGCAAACTTTTGTGTTACAACAAGAAATTATTTTTGCATTCTTATTTATCTTATCAAATTATTTAATATGATTTAACAAATGTTTTGAGAATTTGCTCCACAGAAGAGTATGCTTATCAAACTTTCCAAAATACCCATGTATGTACAGAAAATACTCAGTAAAAAAAAACTACGAATTCAAAAATATAAATGCTCTTATCACATAACAAAAACAGGTGTCAGAAAATAAAGTTAAACTGAAATTGAAAATTTGCTTTTTTTTACATTCCAAATTGTTATTTGGCAAACTTGCAACTTTTTTTAAAAATACATAAATATGTTTTTCAAAATTTCAGTAACAGTATAGACAAATATACATAGGCAGACTATAATTTTAATATATATGAGAGAATTCACCACCACAAAGTAATTCTTACATTAATGCAATTGTCATTATATAATCTTTTAGATGCTCAAATTCTAACAATATCGCAGATATATAACAACATAATATTTTTCAAACTTAGTTTTGCACATCATAGCCCACATTCGACATTAAATCAAAATCAACCAATAATCCAACAAATTAGTAAATTGAACAATTTTATTTATATATATAATATANTATATATATATATATATATTTATTTATTTCATAAAATGAAGTAATTTGTTATATTAAGAGTTAATATAAAACAGGATTAAAATTTATAAAATTTCAATACTACAATTTTCATTAGACTTTGTCACTTTTAATGCAAAATACAAATCGTTTTATTGACTAAAACTTTGATTATGATACTGAATTGTGTTGCCAAGGTAATATCATTCATTACACCTCATATTTAGGTTTAGTCACATCAAATAAGTTGTAACTATAAGAACAGATCAAACACAATTTAAATGATATATTAAATGTAAAAATGTACATTATATAAATAATGAATTAGCAGTTTAGAAATCTGTATTGCGTGCATGAATTTGTTTGTGTATAAGCTTTTATACAAAATTCAGAAAACTTAAAACCTTTATATAAGTAGTTAAGTGCTTTTAGAATAAATATACAAAAAAACATATCGGTTTTTGTTTACAAGAGAATCATAGTCTTTTAAAAAATGAAACATATTGCCTTCTAACTGAGCTGTTTGAAGGAATGAAGCTCTTAAACAAAATTTATAAAAATTAAAACATTTATATACGTAGTTAAGTGCTTTTAGAAGAAATATATAAAAAAACATATCAGTTTTTGTTTACAAGAGAATCATACATTCTTTTAAAAAATGAAACATATTGCCTTCGAACTGAGCTGTTCGAAGGAATGAAGTGACCACCTTCATGATAAATGGCAGAAGGCTCCAGAAATGTTATCATCAAACCTTCATTTAATTCTGAAAAAAAAAAAGTTTATATAGATCTTAAAAAATATCATCTAAAATATTATTTTTGCTTTTTCTTGAATGTATTAGCATAAAAATTATAAAACAATTATAAATCAATTAAATAGTGGAAAAAATAATTATTTAGTGGAAATTATATAGTGATATAGTATAGATTATGTAGTGGAATATAATTAAATGGTGGAAAAAAATTATGATGCTCTTTGTTGGATTTGAAAACTGCACGGTTGGGGAAAGAAAAAAAAAGAAAAATCATAAATTGGAAATATGTTGAAATTGCTTTTTACGAAGCTCAATCATAGTTTAAAATTTCAAATAAATCAAATTATATCTTTGGCTGCCAAAGAAATAGTTTTAAATATAATAATAACTTGTATTTAAATTTAGAAACAATTGTTGAAGTAAACGAGGAAATGAAGAAATATGAATAGTTTAATCTGCAGAAGACCAATAGAAGGTTTTCACCTTTAAATGTGCATGCTCTTCTGTTGTTTGATTATACTTTTTCTCTTAAATTTGAGAGCATCAACTGATTTATTTGTTAGATTTATGTTTTTATTATTATTAGAATGTATTATTTTAATTGCAAGTTTACCATATTTTTTGAGTTATCACAAGGCTATATATTGCATTTCCAAAGAACTAAAACTTGATTAGAAGACTCGTGTGCTCAAAAAACAGACCTAATTAAGCAAGGAAAGCTTTGAGAATAAGATTCTAAAAATATCTGACTGTTAACTTTATTACAAATTTTAAAACAAAATCATGCTGCACTCCAAGCATACCAAATCCTAAATACAAATAACATCACTGTTGCCACAAACAGGGGTGATTGTGGGTCCAACTAAAAAAATCCTGCAAATTTCTTGAGTAAAATCCATCAAAAAATTAATATTTTTATAAATTTAAATCATTGAAATTTTCAAAACATGATATTCTAAATGAATTATATGCAGCATAATTTAAATGAATAATTATGAGTAAGTTTACTTTTATCTCTAATCACATTTGTTATTCTACCAGAAAAAATATTTACAAATGAAAGATGCCAAGTATAAATTCTACTTCTAATATTTTTAAATAAAATATACACGAATTTTTATACTTAAATGTGATCGATGATTTCTTTAAACTTCTGAACTTTGGATTTCCGCAAACTTTCAGATCGCGGTTAGCGATAAATCCGGATTTCTTCCGGAGCACAATCACCTCTGCCAAAAAGCGCTCTTAATCTAGAAACTCCGTAATCTTCAAGTATAATGAGTTAGCAATGCTTATCCATCGATATTGCAGGTCACACGATAGCATACATCAGAGGTCCTACAGGCTCATTTTTCCGAGGCGTATATTCGCTGTTATTGGGTACAGTTTCATGATTGGCTCCTAAAACCAACCCGATTACAACTTGTCTGGGACTCGTATTTTTTAGTGAAGAGTTCCATGATTGGTATTTAAAATATTGTAAGTCTTTGAATTTGCAATTTAAATAAGCATGTTGTTAATTTTATTTTTTTCTTCTTGAAAAAACTTAAGAACTTTAAATAAATACACAAACATAGGAATTCGATGCCTACCCGTACAGTCATGCATACCATACACTGCACCGCGAAACCGTACAAGTTAGCAGGTATGTAGATCGATGCAAGAACAGCTATTTGGTATTTTTGATTTAAAAATAAACTTAATATTTATTGTATTGTATAATTTAGATGATCAATCATTTCAAATTAAAATTTTTTACATACATAGCATAGATGATGTTAAAAATGAAATAAAAATAAAATGATAGAAAAATTTCCATCATTTAGATATAACTCCTGACAAACATCTGTAAAGTTAAGATGTCTTTTCTCTTCATTTATGATTAAAAAAACTAATAGCTCAGTGAAATCAAAGAAGTGAGGAGAAGGTACAAATAGAGTAAATGAACAGTTATATTAATACTTTTAAAAAAATTATCTTAAACAAAAACAGTTAAAGTAAATAGAGTTGTATAAAAATATGAAATGAATAAGTGTATTTTTAAACAAAATATATATCAAAACTAACTAAATACCACATAACATTCACAAAATACTTTAAAAGAAAAATATTTAAATCAAGGAGGATAAAACAATGAATTCAGCAACAATGAATTTATGCTTAAATACTTTGCAACAACTTTTCTTTTTTGAAAATATAAGTTATACTTATTACTTCTAAAAGTAAAGTAAGGTTTTTTTTTCTTCCATTTTTAAAAAAGGGAACAATAATAATCAAAATTTTATAGCTGATTACAGAATTCTTTTAAGTTTCAACAGAACAAAATTATTAAAAAATATGTATATAGATATATTTAAAGTGTAACTTCAGCTTGTAATAAATTTTTACTAATGATACACACCTTTAGGAATGCAAGTATCACTTTCTCCAATGATATGCAAACTTGGCATTTTTAGAAGCTTCTTATACAAATAAGCATGAGATTGACAAACACTACGAAAACCAGCAACAATCACAGCAAAGTGGAATTCATGAGTAAACTCTAAAAGAAACAAGATTTTAAAGCAAATTAATGAAATTAACTATAAGTTAAACTACTAAAAATTAAAAGTATTTCTCAGGACAATATGTATAACCTTTAATTTATTTTTTACTGAAAAATATAAGCTAAAAATAATATACTTATGGGTTTATGCTAAGACCAGAGGGTAAGAAATTTCTATAAACGTGCGACCAGATAACTTCAAACATTAAAATTTAAAGAATTTTATATGTAAATATGTGATGAGATTCGGGTGTTATTTAACAATGGAATTTTTTGTTGTTTAATCAGTTCAGGAAAAAAATAAACATTAAATGTATGAGTAACAAACTGTATTAAAAAAATTAGACTTAGAGAGGCTCACAGTAGAAAAAATTATCTTTTTTGATGAGGAGTAGTGTGAAAAAAATTGAAATTTGTATGATACTTCCTTAATTTGCAGCAAACGTGTTGAAATTTCAGCAAAACATTGGTTTTTCAAAATTTTAATTAAAATTTTGAAATTTTATTTTTTTAATTTTCAATTCTGGATAACATGGAAAAGGTACCCTAGGTAATACAAAGTCCACATAAAAAAAGTTCATTTAAAATTTTCTTGTCTGACTAAAAATGAAAACAAATTCCGATAAAATGCATATTTTTTTGAAAGTTTTTATGAACAATTAACCTAATAATTAAGCATGCAGATCGCGAGAAAGAACTATATTGCATACCTTGGTGGAGGTGGAAACTAGACTATTTTACATAGATTATATTCATGACAACGCAATTGCCATCTACATTGCATTTGTGCTGCCATCATGGACAAATATATTAAACTAACTCATTTAATACTCCCACTTTAGTTTACATACTTAAGAGTAATCACAAATGTGCAGAAAATAAAAAAATATTTAAGTTCCATAGATGTTCCACACAGTTCGTGTTTCGTTCTATTTGCAGTTTTTGTTAGATAGTCCGCTAACTTCTGTCTCTAATCCTTCTATTGTTACATTGCCAAGCTGCACCGCTTCATGTACAAAATGATGCAGCACATTGATGTATATTGTTCTCTTATGGTACTGATTATTTTCAGTTACATTTATAGCGCTATTATTATAATTGAAAATGACAATTGATTGTACTGGTGGAAGACCAAGATCTTTGACAATTTTACAGAGTCAAATGGCTCCTTTTGTTGCTGCAGATATTGACATGTATTCAGCTTCTGTTGTGCTTGTTGCTACCCTTGGTTGTCTTTTACTGCATCAAGACACAAATCCGTCTCCAACAGTGAAAGCATATCCAGTCGTTGATCTATGGTTGCCAATGTCTCCACCGCAGTTGGAATCACAGTATCCTATTATTTCCCCACCATGGTATTTAGAATACTTCAATGTGGTATCAGTGGTACCTGAAAATTCTTCTAACATCTTTCCAGTGTATTTGAGATGGATTGTTGCAAAATTGGCATACAGTATTCATTACATGTGAAATATCTGATCAAGTTCCCTGAGCCGCATAAAGCATATTGTTAACTGTCGCTTGGAAAGAAACATTACTTATGTTTTTTCAAATTATCATCTTTAAGTTGAACTTTTGTCAAGATTTGATTGGGATCAAGTGGTGTTGTGACTGGATGTGACTCAGTCACATTATATTTTAAGCATTCGCTCAATGAATTGGATTTGATTTAGGTTAATGGACCCTTTGATCTGTTACGCTCTATTTCAATCCCTAGACAATAACTGGCTTGACCTAAATCTTTCACTAAGTTAATTCTTCACTAAATTTTAAGCCTTACTGAGTTGCCAAAAATTAATAAGTCACCTACAGATAATTACAATTAAAAGTTCTTTACTCTCAATTAGTTTAATATATGCACAACTATCAAAAGAACTTAGCCTTAATCCCATTACAATTATGTCTTCTTATAATGTCAGATACCAAAGCTTGCCACATTGTTTTAAGAAATCTAGAGCTTTATTAAATTTGAAAACTTTCACACTTAAATTTTGTTGGTAATATTCACTAATATTAATTCCCTTAGTGTTTTTTGAACAAAAACCATAACAACACCCATTTGATCAATTTCCCAATCATAAATAGCTGAATAAGCCAACATAACTTTTAATGTGATATCTACGGCACAAACTACTGGTGAAAACATTTTTGTATAATCTATTCCTTCAACCTGGGAAAAACATAGAGCTATTAAGCAAGTTTTGTACCTTTCAATATCTCCATTAAAACTACGTTTTATTTTGAATACCCATTTACAATTAACAATGTTTTTATTTTTAGGTTTATTTACTATGTCCCAAGTTTTGTTTTTAATGCGGCTTGTTATTATTTCACATAAAGATTCTCGCCAATGACTGGCATTACTATCATTGAGTGCCTCATTAATAGTATTACGTTCAGAAAGAAATTCATTTTTTATAGCCGCTGAAGCATTAACAAAGCAAGTAGGATCTAAATTTGGCATATGCCAATCTGGCATACCTTTGATACCAAAACTTTGATGACGAACTAGAAGTTAAATTGCTCTTCCTATAGGTGTCAATTTAGGCATGTCGTTATCAACAGTGATATTATTAGCACTTTCATCACTATTTACAAAATTGTCACTATCTAAGCCATTAATGTTAATACAGGCTTCCTACTCTTCTAACAAAAATTAAAGACTCTTAAGGACTTTTTTTTTGAAAAAATTAAAAAATAATAATAAACAATTTTATTATAATGTAAGTACTGACATAATTGTATTGATTAACAGGGCTTACCAAAGTAGGACCAGGCATTTTTTGTAAACCAGGTCTAGCTTTATAAAAATATTTTCAGATTGTTAAGAGTTAACGACATCTATGAAACTAATCCATATTCCATTTTTAATGATTTCATTGAAATTGAATGGTAAAATTAAGTGCAGAAATTAAGTTTTGCAATTTTTTTCATATACTTAAAAAAATTAATTTGAAAATAATTCAAAACTGATATTTGAAATCATCATGAAGAGAAAAATATCTTTTAGGAATAGTAAATTACCTTTATTTTCTTTCAGTCCACAAATTAGAGAAACTAGAGAAGCACCTTGGCTAAATCCTAGAATGCCATCAAATGGGCCCTAGAATATATAAATACCTTAAGTTTTTTTATAATGCATCTTACAACTTTTATAACACATGAGATCAATAATACAGTTATTGAAAATTCATATTCAAGTTATTAGATTTCATATACTAGAGTGTAGAATGTGACTTGTGCACTTTTTTTTAATGGGCACAAAAGATAAAAGGCTGAGTGAAAGTCAGTTGAATTAAGTTATCATTAAACTTAGAAAGGCCATAATTAGAGAGTTAAGATATCCAAAATCTGAATATTCTACAAATACACAATGTTTAAAAAAAGTTGTTGCTGTAAAAGTCATTGATTGGTGGCCTTTTCCTTCCTCACTACTGACATTAGGGGTAACATCAATATTTAATATGTACCACAAATTCCTTGTTTCAGGTTGTTCACTTCTGACAAGCTAAGTGTAAGTTACTAACCACACACAGCAAACAGTAAGTAAACTGCAAGCCAGTAAAACTGTCCATCAATAAATGGAAAGAAAAATAAACTAAAGCATAGTAGTCTTTTACCAGATGTGGGTTTTCAAGAGCATAGTTATTTTGAAAAATTCAAATTTTGTCTGGACATTTATTATATATTACAGGGTTTGGGAAAGGTTTTTTAAGAGTAGAGGAGAGAGTTTACACTTTTAACATAGGCAAGGGACAACATGCTTTACTGTTTCTAGGAACAATTACCACATGTTTGAAATAAAATCATAATTGTGGTCAATCTAATTGAACCATTATTATGCTTTCATAATCGAAATAATTAAATCTTTTTTCTATAAACCAATAAAACTTAGTAGAATAGTTTCTAAATTAAAAAAAAGAAAATTTAAATCTAAGGGATAAATTTTATTTTTTCCCCAAAACAATAATTCAATATTTCTGATGATGTGATGCCCCTTATGAATTAAGGTCATAATTAGAAATAAAAATAATGGTACTGATGCTATTAGGTTTTCAAAATCTGTTTATGTCCTAAAGTGGAATTCTTTCTATTCTTTAAAAAAGTTATAGGTTATTTTGAGTCGATAATGTCACCAAAATATGCTTTATAATGAACAAATTTTATTTAAACAAGAATTTGGAATTATATTAAACTATGCATAAAAATAAAAAAAGCACTCCCTAACAATTGAATATCAGCTAAGAGGATGAAAAAAGTTAAAGCTCCACAATTTAAAAAAAAACAACTACATGAGGGGCCAATAGAATCAGCATAGTGTAATGTATGCAGCAGCATGGCTAGCAGGAGCAAGAGGGGACATCTGTCCCCAGGGTCAACCTTAGAGAAGTGCAGAATTCACGAAATATAATCAAAAAGTGAAATTGAGTTTCTCTTTTTAAGTATCCTCAGTTTCATTATGTAATTGTGAGTAACTTAATATCTTCATATTTCAATTCGATTTACCTAAAAATTGAACAGGATGTCAATTAATTGGCGATGTGTCCCAGCAAAAACATAAGCAATTTTTAACCTGTCAGGAGGTTTACCTGTAGCATCTATAAAATGAACAGTATTATGCTTAACAGCATAATTAGGATCTGATAATTTTGACTGTGAAGGATAATTTGACAGTAATTTATGGTAAACAGTATCCCTGATAGTTTTAACCGAATGCAAATTTTCAACATCAGTATTACATTGAATTTTAAAATTTATTTTTTAAATGAACAAGTTTTTTTCCTCTTAAATCAAAATAGTGCATAAAGTCAGAACCAATATTATTTTCTACTTTGCAAATATAAAGGGTGAAATTGAAATTGTGGCGCATTCCAAAATTAAGAATCACTGTTTTCGTTTCATAGACAGGTATAGATGTATCATTTGTTGCAGTAAATGTCAAAATAGGTTTTTGACTAATTTGTTTTTAATTCGCTGCAAGTAGACGCACATCGGATCCTGTATCACACAAAAATGTCAAATTGTTTTGCTTATCTTTGATGAAGAGGCAACGAGATTCAGGTGTTCTATGCTTTTTCCATTTCGTTTTCCTGTGAATAGGAATTCAAATGTTGATTTGCAGATCATGAACCACAATGCAGGATCAATGGGTTTGAATGCTGGAATTTTAATTGCAGCAGTGTTGAACATTTTCTTAGTTCTTTCAGGCGAGGTAGGTAGGAGACTTAACTTTCGCATTCCGCAAATCGAAACTAGCATGCATCCAAACGATCAGACTAATACAGTTTGAATTCAGACATTACAATGTATTCTATAAGTCAGAGCTAAAATTTGTGGAGGATGGTTTGATGTTACGAAGAAGGTGATTTAAAGGATATGAATAAAGATAGCCCAGTTAGACAAATGTAACAATATTTATTAAAACAATAAAGAAAATCTTTTAATTGAAAAGACAGTGAATGTGTATCTGCTTTCCTTGAGTGTAAAGGGAAAAGAAATACTCCATTGGCCGAACAAGGCATAGGTGTTTTCTATTAGAAAATATTTGAGCGGGTATAATACTAATGCTGTAAAATCATCTTTAAGGTTCCTAACATTAAAAGCTTTCAGGCCAAGCATTCCTAAAGATGTGAAGCTTTAAACTTGATCCTACATGGCATGCCAAAACTGTAAAACTAATTGGCACATTAAATCAAGTTTAGGTAATCTTCAACTTGCTTCAGAAAGATTCAGCAACGTCCATATTGATACCATTGGAGCTTTACCACTTAATTACCCTCTTATACTATTTTAAGTGTATACTTTACAAAGTAATTCTCATTTAGTATCAAAATGATATAAAAATTTGAAACGTCAGAAAAATAATTAAATGCACGCTAAAAAAAGGATTACATGATAAACAACTTGAGAGCTTTTTTTTAAGATTTTAAACTAAATAATATCAGAAAACAAACACCTAAAAGGGCATTTTAAATAAAAGATATGTATTAAAAAAAATAATGGTAAAATTTAAAGTCACTAAAAAACTCAATATACCTTGCAAATAAAAGATGTGAATATTTCTGAGGCGGAATGTCATGCAAATTTTAACTTGATAACAAAAGAAAAATCTTACTAAAATTAAGGAATGAAATTGAAAATTAAATAATTATCAGTAACTAAATAAATCAGAGGTGAACTGTTCATTAAATGGATGGTTAAGAAAATAACCTTTTCCTGAAAAAATAAAAAGGCAGTGTTTTTAAGGGATGGCAGCCTATTTTTATAAAAAGGGCAAGGAGGGAGCATTTATTTGTAAGATCAAAGGGCAGGCAGGGTGGGCTGCCCTTCTAAAAATGCTTAGGGAGAACACTGGAATAATATTGCAACATACAACCGCTTATCATTCCAAAGCTAATGGAAAAGCTTAAATTTTTCTTGATTTTTTTTAAAAAAAAAACTTTATTTCTAATCAGAGCAACACTATTTGAAAAGTGTAAAATATTACATGTTTGAATGTTCTCTGAAAATTCTATATTTATGTATGACTTATTTTTTTATCCTACAATAATTGAAATTAGTTTTATAACACTACTTTTCAAAACAATTTTCAGTAACAATACCCTATGTGTTCATCTTCACTATTATGAAAAAAAGCTACATACGTATATATATAAATACATATATATATATACATATACATATATATATATATATATATATNTAATAATAAAAATAACAAAAAACCGGAAAAAAAAGAACAAAATTTTTTAAAAATCCGGAAAATAAAAGATATAATCTTTTCATCAGCTCACACGATTATATCCGCAAAAAATATATAATATATAAAACAAATAATATATATATATATATATTTATCATTCAAGTACATTAATAGGTTTTGATTGTTAATAATTTGCAATTTATAATGTTTGTTGGTAAATCATTGGTATATTTTAATTAATTATTAAGAATAGTATTAATGACCTAAAACCTAACCTAAAATTGAAATATTTACCTAAAATTGAAATATTTGTGTTAAATATTTATCTTTTTAGTTGTTTTTTTTAAATACATTGTTCTTCTATACTGCATGTGTTCTAACTTTTTCCATTTAGGTAGGAAGTTCTTGTATATTTAGAGTGAATGAAAATTTTACGATTCACTATTTTATTTTTGATTTAATAAATTTAATTTGCAATGTATTTGCCCACCACTATACCTAAACAATTTAAATAAGTTTATTATAAGATCTGTTAATTATGCTGTAAAAACTTTTAAATTCTCGCAAGATTAAACAAATTAATGCACTTCTGACTTAAATTCCATTATTTTTACATTTTATATAAAAATAGTAAAATATTAGAAATTTACCAATTTTAGCTACAGATTTTAAAAATTATGTATGTTGCATGTTCTCATCAAAACATCATAAAGTACTTAGTTTTAATATAAGCTTTGTAATATAAAAATTATGTTGCTGCAAAATTAATAATGAAAATAATAAAGAACAATGAATTTGATACAATTCATAAAAATATGATCACATAGAATATCTATTTTCATGGTTCCAAGTGTTGAGTTAAGATATTTCAAATTATTCCTTCTTACAATATTAACCTGTTTGTTGGTCCATGTGTTTTTATTTTTCTAATAACCCTCAAAATGTCATTGGGGCTCTTTATTTTGAAATAAAGAGCCCCAATGATTTAATATGTAGGTGCCAACTTAATTTCTGAACCTAAATTATAGAATTTAAATACCCTAAGATAATTTCCTCCAAAAAGGAATTTTATGTTCAAAATCTTTTTAACTTTTAAGGCAGGCATACGTTTGCACGATTTTAAAATTTGTAATTTAATGAGTTAAAACTAATAAATGAAGTGACATAAACTAGAGTTTTTCAAAATGGGAATGTCAGCTTTAAAAACACATTTTCTCATGTATAACACTTATGTTGCTTAAAATCTATAATTTGCATAATTTTTATTTTAATATCCTGTCTTACAGGATTTTGAATTTATGCCAAGCATTAACATGACAGACAATATATTTTTATTACAGGTCTTCAGAATTCTATAGATAAGCGCAAGTGATTCTGTGAGGACAAAGACAGTTTAATTACAGGAAATCTTGAGATAATTTCCCGTTGAATTAAGATTTTTCAAAATTCAATTTGATATAAAAATATGTTGTGCAATTTTTTGAATAGTTAATTGATGTATTTCTGTATTTAAATAAAATGGATGGAAGATACAGTCTTCGTTATATATTAAACTAATTTCAGGGTACATTCATTTCTTAGATAATCAAAATTTATTCATTTTTGTACAATACACTTATTTTAGCAAAATTAGTTACAAGACTAAATATAATCCTTAAAACATGAATTCATGATCACACAAAACTATCATCATTAGGAAGCCTCTTTGCATTATCAACTGCAAGTTGTGTTTATTTCTGTTTAAATTACAGTACCTCTTTAGGTTCTCATAAATACACAGCTTTTATTTTAAAACTTCAATTTTAATGCTTATTTAACTTTCTTATATTCAGTAAACTATACATATATTGCTAATGAGTAAAAATGTCCACATTAACTTGTAAATGAGGGACAAAACTTATTAATCAGCTAAATAGCTAAAGCATTCTAATTTTAAAAAATAAAGCTATATAAAGGAAAAACTATTTTATATTTACACTTAATTTGAAAAAAAATTTATTAATAAGAGGAAAAGTGGCTTATGCATGATACATTTTGTGGATTGAAGAGTTTAATGGTATAAGAAATACTCTTTTTTTTTTAAAAGAAAAAAAAACAAAAAAAAAACAAACACTACTTTTACATGTTAAAGTTGTTATTTTAATCCATTAATTAATTGTTTAAATAAATATTTATAACCCAAATTGATAGATATTTATTTAACTAATTATTAATTAACTAAATGAATATTTTCCACAAGATTAAATAAAAATAATAAAATTTGGGATTATCAAGTAGGTCAGTGACCTCTAATCACCCTCAATAAGCTAGAAGGATACTGCTTGGTTGCTACAGTTGCTGATGAGGATCTGCTGGTAGTACTTCAAAAAGTGTTGAGCAATCGCTTTCCCTGTTTTTTTAATCAGCAAATGCAGAGTTCTTAGCTTCTGCCAGCAAACACCCATACTACAGTGTTGACAATAGGCCAGCCATTCACTTTTGTACAAGAGAAGGTGATGAACAGTGTAGGCTGACCAGTCTTTTTAGACGCTGGTTTTGACCAAATTTGTGATGGCAGAACTGCAGGTTTATCTTAGCTGGGATTGAATGCAAAATGTCTTTAGAAAAAATGCTATCATTCAATCAAAAACAAATTACACAATCAAAAACATTTAAGTGTAATAGGAACTACATTAATAACATGTATTGATAAATTTTAAACCAAATTGAGTGAATGCTAATGAAGTTATACAGCTACATTATCTTTAAAAACATTATGTAAAGTTTTTAAATCTTATTTAATGCGAAATTAAAAAAAATCCCATTGTCAAGTGAGGTGGATTTAAACTTTTACATCATCTAAAACTTAAAATATTCCTGAAAATGGCATCTGAACACATATCTTTACATCCTTGACAAGTTGGTACCAATTGAGCTTAAGCTGAATGTGTTTCAAGCCACCACTGAGGATAAAATCTTAGTTCTTCACAATGACAGCCCAAGCCATAACAGTTGTGTCTTCACTTCATTTTTTAAAATATAAAGACCCTTAAATATTAGGAGTATAATAGCCATTTAATTATCATAGAAGCCTTCTACTTCATACTTAAAAATTGTTAATAAGCAACGGTTCAAATTAAGAGTAATATCCATAAATCTTACTTGGGTGTCAAATGTAGATTTTATTACTGCTATAGAGTCTTCAAAACCTTTTGCAAATCTGCACTCAACTTTGGAATGAAAGGTTTTAGTTTCTTCACAGAACCACCAACTACATCCTAAAAATTTTTCATTGCTATTAATTTATTTATTTACATAGCCTACATACAGGAATGCATTAATATAACTAGAGTGAAGTTTTTAAATAACTTTCATTAAAAGCATAGACTAAAGTTATAGAATATGGTCTTGTCAAATGTTTCTAGATAAACATAATGAAACTTCTCTTGATAAAGTAAAACTATTTTTTAACCAAACTTAACAAAATACATAACAGTGTGTTTATTTATCAACAGCTGCCGAAAAAAAGACAAAGTTCTATGCCTGGTAGTAAAACCCGAAATTCGACAGCGAAAGAAATTCTCCTCAAATCAGTCTTTGCCAGAGTGATTGCCGGGTAAAATGGACAAATTTTAATAATTTTTTCTTATTTTTATTACTGTATTTATAATTTTCGAAAACAAAATCAGTATCTTGTAAACAATATCAGATTAAGCGAATTATTTGGTTTTTCGCTTTGATCTACGAAGGACAATAAAAGCGAACAGATAAGGGTAGGGAAATTATCGTCTTGTTCGGAAAATAATTTCGTTTTTCTGACAGAGGATTTCATTGTATTTCTTTAAGCCCAACTTCATACTTAAGCCGCATTATCATTATATGTTTTCAGATCTGATATAGCAAGGCTTGTGTGTGAAAAAGTTAAATTAATTCTACATAGTAGTTTTTGGTTTGTGCCCTTTTAAATATGGAGAGCAATAAGCAGCATTTTTGTTTTATTTTACTTTTTTACTATAGAAAAGGTAAAAATGCTGCTCATGCCAGAAAGAAATTAACTGATGTGTTGACAGTAAGCCAGTGCCAGAACTGGTTTACAAAATTTCAATCCAGCAATTTTGATGTCGAAAATGCATCAGGTTCTGGAAGCTGATAAAGACACGATAAAAAATAGTTGATGCAAATCGGCGAATAACAACATGTGAGAGGTTAAATTTATCGAAATCAACTGTTTATGACCACTTGAAAGGCCTGGGTTTAACCCCGAAATATAGGTTCCTCATGTTCTCACGGAGAGAAATGTGTGTCGTCGCGTTGACTTCTGTGATTCGCTTCTCAAATATCACGAAAATGATTCATTTTTGAAGCGCATCATTACTGGGGAAGAAGAATGGGTTGTTTATAACAATGTCAAGCACAAGCGATCATGGAGCAAAAAAGATCAACAGGCTCAAAGCATTCCGAAAGCCAATATCCATCAAGAAAAGGTGATGCTGTCTGTTTAGTGGGATTTTAAAGGAATAGTTCTTTTTGAGCTTTTCGGATAACACAATTAATTTGGAAATCTACTCTCATCAGCAGGACAAACTGAATGATGCACTTCAACAGAAACGGCCGGAATTAATCAACAGAAAAGGTATAGTGTTCCACTAAGATAATGCGAGACCTCATACAAGTTTGGTCACTCGCCAAAAGCTTTTACAGTTTGAATGGGATACACTGCCACACCCACCATATTCTCCAGATCTGGCGCCTTTGGATTATTATTTGCTCCGGTCACTGCAAAATTTTTTGGACTGTAAAACCTTTACTTCAAATGTAGAGGTCAAAAATCACCTGGATCAGTTTTTTGCCAGCAAAGACCAAAAGGTTTATGAGGGTGGAATCATGCTACTACCAGAAAGTTAGCAAAAGGTGTTGGACCAGAATGGTCAATATATAATTTAATAAAATATTTATTCATTATATGAAGATTATCTTTCATTCCCAATCCAAAAAAACAAAATTACTTTCTGAACAACCCAATGTAAGAAAAATATATCACTTTGCTTTATTATTTAAATACAATAAAGTAAAAAGAGTGAAGTGAAAATACAAATTTTTAATTGGAATATAAATTTTAGAATAGTTGAAGCAGTTAAAATATGACTATTTTCCTTAAAAATTCAATGTTAAAGTAAGAATATAGTTAAGCTGTATTGAATCCATTTTCAGAGGTGAAAAAAAAACAGGGTATTCAGACATCCGGACAGAGGTGGTCCTCAGCATTCTAGATAACTGGTTCTCTACTGCAATATTAAAAACTACAGCAAATATTATAAAACTTTTCATTTCTAACTATCTATTTTTTTCTTCTTCTTTTTTTACTGATCAATTTTATTTAAATAAAATAGACATAAATCTCTATATTTCAACAGCACCAATACATTTAATTTCCACTTTATTGTTTAACAAACATTGCACTTACTAACAAAAAATTAATAAAAAAACTTCAGACCCAAACATGGTTAATGTGAAGCTTTTACCACACTTTTCTCAAAACTCTTAAGTAAGCACTAGAGAGATAATTTCAAACATCTTTAAATGGCTATAAATTAAAACGTAAAGGGAAAAATTTGTTTACAATTAAAAAAAATGAGCCATAAGCTAGAAAAATATTACCTCTTGTGGAAGGAGAATCAGCAACATTTTCACTTTCAGGTACTACATGAGGAGCACTGATAAAAACTGAAAAATATGTCATAGTAAGCCAAATCATTAAGCCAAATTATTGTTGTGATTTATTAGAGTTTGAGACAATATATCATCTGTATATTATTCTTCGAAATAAAATAAAAAATGCGTCATTAAATAAATACTAGAGATTTTGGAGTTCAGTAGATTTATGAGCAATTTGAATTAAAATTTTTAAAAATGTTTCAAAAACAACTTTAGTTTAACATTTTTAATAAATAGAACATTGCAATGTTTAGAGCCATTTTTTACCACTTATCAATATGAATTTTATCTAAATTTAATTGGTTTATTAGATTTTTTAAACAAAACTCAATTTTCGTAGTAACTTGCATATATAGATCAGATCAAGGTAGTACTTCACTAATCAAATTTGATTGTATTTTTGAAATGAGATTTAAAAAATATATGGTCTGTTTTTTAAATATGTTAATTTAAATGTACAATGAGAAAAAAAAAAGATAAAATCGTATACTTTTGCTCTTATTATCAGATTTTTACAAACTAAGTGTCAATGGTTGTCGGGGATTGCTTCAAATATACCAACTAATTAGTGCTAACTATTAATTAAGTTACAAAATCATATACAAAAACACACTCTCTCTCTGAATAAACTTTTTTTTTTTTTTTTTACATATTTGGCTTCCTGGCCCTCAAAATAGGAGGGGGGGGGGAGATAGACAGAATTTCGGGAAAATTGCATAAAAAATTAAGGTGATTTGAAGCTACATATATTTGGCATAGTCCAAAAAAAAAAAAGAGAAACCAAGTAATAACTCCAAAGCAGGTGGAATAATTTAAGATTACCCTAAATAAACTATGTGATCAACAGGAGAGAAATACTTAATGTTTCTCCACTGCTAAGTAACCAAGTTTGGAGAATAAAAAAAAAACAATATAAAAAGCTTTGTCATTCATAATTTTTGTTACACTGGGAAGATTTTTAAATTTTTATTTTTTAAAGTCAACAAAAAAATTTCGTAAAGTTTCTAGGCAACAGACATTTTTTGGGCTGATATCTGCCCAAAGAGCAAAGATTATTTTAATTTTCATCTCCTTTGAAAATGGAATTTTAATCGATTAATAAATTATTTATGATTTTCCAACAATTCAGAATTTGAACATATGAAATTTACATGACATTATTTGTATTTTCTTAAGTTATTTTCAACTTTTTTAAATAAGAAGATTTTAAATTAAAACCAAATTTACATTAATTATTTTAATTATATACATAGTTGTAGGACAAGGAGGAATTATATACATAGTTATTTTAATTATATACATAGTTGTAGGTATCTGGAAGATATTATACCTATAATATACATTTACAAAGTTTAATATAATTCAGGGTATTTCTTTTTCTAAATGTGAAGAAATTAGTGAATGCATTTTAAAAACATTGAAATATGTATGTTTAAAAATATGGCACGATTAATTTTTTTAAAAATAATTTCATTCTGCCAAATATGTGAGTTATGTGATTTTCTTGGGATAAAGATAATTTTTTATTTAGTAGAATAATTAATTTAGTTGACTTGTCTAGTAGATATATAGCCTTAGATTTCTTGAAAGAAAAATATGTAGATTAACCCTTTCGGTCCCAGTGATTCCAATTGGAATCATTACATTTAAGATTTTTTATCTGCTTACCTAAAATTCCATTTGATTTGAAATAGGCGGTATTTTAATCTACAAACATTCCTCTAACGAAATATATTTTTATTTTTCACCAATAGATGGAGGCACTACATGTGTTTGTGATTGAAATGATACTGTTTCAGTTTTGTTCAAATCCATAAAAGTTATTGAAATAAAATATCTTTTTGAGGCATTTTAAATTAAAGAATATTTTTAAATATTTCATTTTTATTTATTTAAATGTTCATAAATAGTATTTCAAAAATTTTTAACTATTTTCATTTTGAAAATTTATTGCTTTTATTTATTGAAAAGCTATGATTCCAAATGGAATCAGTGGGAGTTGAGTACAACTCTATATCACTGTCTAATGCGTTGTTTATTTTGAATTTATATCGTTTTTCTTCGCTCTTTCTTATTACTTTTTCAAGTTTTACTAAGATTTTGGGGAAAAAAAAGACTTATTTCTTTTTGTCATTATTTTTCCTGATGCCAAAGCAAAAAGCAGAGGCTTTATCTATTGATAAAGCGGTTCATTTGCTTTTGAATGGAGACTTGTCTGACATCGAAATAGAAGACTTGAATTCAGATGAAAAAACTAGTGATAATGTTCTAGGTGATATATCAATGGAATCTAAAGTTAATTACAACTCAATTGATGCACCCTGGGCCGGATTAACCTATAGGCACACTAGGCACGTGCCTAGGGCCTACGAAATTCAGGGGTCTACGAAAAACTTGGGAGAAAAAAATTTGTTAACAAAAATAATTTTTTTCTATTAGTAAACATTTAACCTACCTTGCAAATTTATTTATCAATAATTTCAAAAGATTAACTTTTGACAATGTTAATTTCCTTCACTTAGTTATCATAGTAGTATCATAAGAACTATGAAGCTATTTGTAGTATAAATATTTCTTGTAATTAATCTCACTATCAATTTCACTGTTTTCTTTGCTGTTTTGTTGTTGTATTGTTGACGTGAAGTGCTTACATAGTTATCGATCGAACTAATCATAATGGTATTATCGATATCAGCTGCAATATCGGCAGTATGTCGGTATTGCAGATAAAGTTCGATAAACAAATTTGTAAATTAAAATCCATATTAATAAAAATGTAAAAAAAAAAATATGCAAGAAAATTTTAGCATATATTTTGAAAAGAGGGGAGGAGTGGGGGAAGGAGGGGAGGGCCCAAAAACGGCTATGCCTAGGGCCTACGAAAGGTATAATCCGGCTCTGGATGCACCCCAATGCATACCTGTCTTAACAATACTAAGAACTGTTTTAAAACATTTCATGTAAAATAAATAAGTAATACTGAGAAATAATAAGGTTCTCATCTAACCATATCAATAATGATGAAAATTGGTTCAATTTTTTTCAATGTGTAATAAATATAATAGTGCCAAATATTTCTTGCAGAATAGTTATAATTTATTTAGTTATTAAAAAATACCCCATTTATATAGTTATAAATCTTTAAATAATGCATAATATATATTCAAAAACTTTTCTAGTGATTTTCGTCCTTCACTACTTTATTCCCAATGATGCCATTTGGAATCATTTAAAATTTTATTAAAGAAATTTAAAAAAAAAAAAATTTTGTTTGTTTTGTTCTTTTGAATGCAAAATGAGTCTGTTTTACAAATTTCAGATTTTTTTGGTGAAAAATAAATATTTGGGACTGAAAGGGTTAATAAGGTGTAAAAAAATTTGTCTCATAATTCAAAATTTTTTCACCCAGTATTAAATTAAATAATAAAAAATAAATTATTAAAGATTAATGCTAGCATGAAATAATGTTTGGGTAAACGGGTTTTGTTGAGTAGGTGCAAATTTTTTCAAAATATCTAAATCAGTTTTAACGATATGACTAAATATGCAAAAAGTGAGATTAACATTAAGGGGACCAAACTTTCATCCGCTCTCCTGGCCAAACTATTAAGGCCGCAATTTCCAGATTGCGGCTATCTCCCATATTTTAAAGGTTGAAAATCTAAATATGTAAAAAATAATAATAATAATAATAAATAAATAAAAAATAAAATATGTTTATTCAGAGAAAGTATATTTTTGTGTCTGATATCATAACTTAATTAATAATTAGCACTAAATATCTAAAACATTTCTGGTCACATTCAGGAATCATTAAGATTGACAATTAGTATGTGAAAATACAATCTTTAGAATGAAAGTTATTCAGGGTGATATCTTTTCTTTTTCTTCACACTGTACACACCTATTACCAAACAAAATCCAGGACCTGATTTATCATAAGGCCTGAGAGGTCCCCCACATATCTGGAGGGGGGGGGGGAAATGCTTAAATATTTTTTTTGTTTTATAATAAGACTTGTCCATTAAAATTATGAGTAAATATTCTAATGAGTAAATATAAATCTATGACTAAATATGTCCATTAAATTGAAATAAATTTAAGCACAAATTTACTAATATAATATTATTTATTTATGTTGATGTTGAAAAAGGTTTAAAGGCACATTTCCAATGAATAACATGTAAATTTAAGAACCAATGTTGTCCCAACAGTTCTGTACCTAGAGCCCTTGGATTTCTAAGCCAGTACGCACCTACTAACAATTATAATCCTTACATTAAAAATTTCACAATATAATTTTTAATGAACTAAAACCAAGTTAAATTACATAATTCAAAATTCAGTGTACTAGGCTGCATCACATTTGAAATAATCAGCCAAGGCAGTGGGCATAGGTGCAATAGCTCTACAATTATTGAGATGGCATATTTAAAAACATAAAAACTCAGGAGGCACGAATGAATGAAAAACTATTGTTCCAATAATAAGATTTCAACTAACAAGATAATCACTATCAATGATTATCAGCCTTATGCATAACTATTTAACTAACACAATCATTAAACACAAAAATTTATTTCTTCTAGTCAAAAATTTTCTTATGTAACATATTTGAATTTAGAAGCTTCAAATATATGAAGAGGAGACAAATTTTGTGACAATTTTACTAATTATCTGCAAGATTATTATTATGTCGAGTACTTTCAAAGATAATTATGTAATTACTAGCGCAAATCAAGTGAAGATTTAAATACAATTTTAAAACTCATTTAAATAAAAATTTATATAATACTGAAGTAATATCTTTTTAATTAAATTTTTCCTAAATTTACTTAATGTTTTATACACTCAGAGTTAGTGCTGTTTACAGTTACTTCTAGTATTTGTTTAACGCTAACAATTTTCCTAAAATTTGTTTAGATAATATATGTATATAAAAATGATACAAACCTAATTCTGCAATATTTTTTATACTTTTCCGAAAGCCTCCCATTTTACTTCTGAAAATATCAGCATCTTGCCTGAAATATGACAGTAATAAGAAAATATTGCGAAATTTTAAACACAGAATACTAATAAAATGCAAGGGTTATGCATGTCCTAAGACTTTATAATATCCTTAAAAAATTAAAAGTGGTGATTTATATTAAGATAATTAGTTCAATTTTCACATCTTAGTTTATAATCTTAGGCAGAAAAAAAAAGCATAAACACAACCTGGAAAAAATAAATTAGTGGTAGCTAAGCTCAAATCTACTGAAAAATGCTTAAATTTATCTTTCATTTGAGAATTACGAAATTATTCATGAGTTGTTTTCTGCAACCAGTTTCAGCAAAATGTGAGAAAATCCAATCAATGGATCAAAAGCTATTATCAAAGTGGAAGAAAGAAAATTAAAAAAAAAAAAAAAAAAAAAAAAAAAAAAAAAAAAAAAAAAAAAAAAAAA